CTTCTTTCTCCTTGTAGTCAAGCATTTTAAAATCCATTTTCACATCCACAGCATCTTTTTGTGCCTCTTCCATATCTCTTTCATAGTCTGGCAATTTTAAATATGGAAAATCTGTATTCAAATCATCATCAGTTTCTGTTGTATCCAGTGGAAGATTATCTTCTTCTGTCACCTCTGTTAGATCCAGTTTTAGGAATAAGTCCTGAACACATTGTCCCCAAACAGATTTAAATTCTTCAGTAGTAAGACAATATTCCTCCATTATGTTAACAAGTATCTTTTCCTTTAATTGCTCTGGTTCCCTCTAGGTAACCTTCAAAGCCCAGTCTTATCTTTTGTTTATTTTCAGAATGAAAATTTTCCCACCATAAGATTTCTTACAATTCCAAAATCATCAGCTATATTTTTTATACAGTTCAGAACAATTCATAGAAACTATTCTTTCAAATCCACCTGGCCCCTTAACTGTCCGCAGTCAACATTCTTAGCTCACTTTCACTATTTTCTAAAAGTTAAACGTTTTTCTTTTTAGTCTTAAGATTTACTTAAATCTTCTTTCTCCCAAGATAGAAGGAATTTCTCCGGGTGTGCAGCAACTTGCCTTTCAGAAGGTTTTTGATTTCCAAATAAAGCATAAATAAGTAGTTTCTGATAGTAATTAAAAGAGGGAAGTGGAAGCAAATCTAGTGTCCTTTGGAAGGCTCCACACCACGGCTTGGGCTCAATATTTCCCGTGACTCCCAGAGCGCTTAACCCGCTGGGGATAGCAAATTTGTGATCTTCTCACAGGGAGTCCCTGCAAGGAGTGCTTGTGGGTGATCCAGACATCCCCTTTATTCAGAGATGGTTCCAAAGAGCCAGACCTTTTGTCAGCTCCTCTTAACTGCTGCGGCTGTTGGCTCTGCAAAAACAGCTGTCCTCAATCTGCCATTACTCCCCTGGAAGCCAATACTTATATGAAATTGCTGATGATACCCAACTGTATATTGCCACCCTGGACTGCTGAGGGGATGATATTCTAACTCGGTGCTTAGAGACTGCAAGGGGCTGGGTGGGAGAACTCAGGCCGAAGCTAAATCCAAGCAAGACAGAGTTCCTGTTTGCTCGGCGGGGCTCTCCGTCTACGCCAACGTTATCCTGGAGGGCAAGCGCCACCTGTGAAGGAGCAGGTTTGCAATTTGGGGAAACTCTGGACTCATTAACAGCGGGGGGAACCCATCGTGGCATTGCCTGGTGCAGCAGGATCATTAACACCCAGATAGACTACTGCAACCTGCTTTACGCGGGGCTGCCTTTAAAGCCTACTTAGAAATTACTGCTGGTCCAGCCTGTGTTTTAATAGGTTCCAATGCTGGGAGCGTGTAACACTGATAGATTGGACAACCATTTATCCGAGATGGTATGAGGTCTCCTGCCTTGGGCAGGAGGTTGGACTGACTAGAAGACCTCCAAGTCCCTTCCGATCCTACGATTCCATGATACCTCAAGCCCTGTGCTGGATACCAGTTTGGTTCTGGGTACAATTTAAAGTGCTAGTTTTAATCTATAAACCCTCTGTGGCTTGGCACCCAAGGACTTGCTGGACTGTCTTCTCCAACCTGTATAGATTGTTTAAGGAGAGGTCCCACATTCCTGGGAGGGGAGGAGAGCCAAAGCTAGGAGGTGCCGCTTGGTAGCAGTGCCAACGCTTTGACGTAGTCTCCTGGCAGAGATCAGACTGGCTCTTCAAGAGGATGTTGAAACCTGAGCATTTTTGGAGAGTGTTTGGGTGATGTTTATGTCCTATGCCATTTATTATATTTGTATTTTTTTCTTGACCTTATATTGTGTGGCTTTTCTGATTTCTTACTGAGCTATTTAAATTGTAATTTTAAACCTCCTGTGGATATTTTGATATTTTCCTTATATTATGTGAACCGCCAAGACTACCAAATTGCAGTGGGATTGACATGGCCAGGAAACATTTTTAAATGACATGTCTTGATGACGTTGCCAACCATAGAGGTAGCTAAAAGTTGTTGTTTGTTTGTTTGTTTGTTTAAAATGTATCATAGCCACCCACTCCTATAGACTCTAGCGACTTACAAATACAAATACAAAACAATAAAAGCACAACCCCACAGGTACCCCAGACTAAAACGACCATAGCAATAATAAGTCAGTCAAACCAAACCAGGGCTCCACAAACTGATCAACGCCAGGCCTGAGACCAAAGCCAGGCCTTACATGCTCTTCTGAGCTCTAGGCGAGGAGGCGCTGTCTGTGTCTCTGAGGGGATGCCGCTCCAGAGGGCGGGGGGCGCAACAGGGAAGGCCTGCTTCCTTGGTCACATAAGAGGACAAGGTTTAACAGAAGAGGCCTGGCGCGTACCCATTCTGCCGGAACACACCAGGCGGGCAGAAGCAGTTGGAGATAGGTGGTCCTTCAGGTATCCAGGCTGTACCTATAAAGGGCTTTATAGGTAATGACCAGCACCTTGAATTGAGCCCAGAAGCCAATCGGCAACCAGTGCAGTTCATATAGCAGTAGTGACACATGGGTATACTGGGAGGTGCCCATTACTGCTTGCACTGTCACATTTTGTACCAGCTGTAAACTTCCGGGTGGTCTTCAAAGTCAACCCCACGTAGAGTGCATTAATCCAGTTGTGAGGTGGCCACAACATGAGTGACTGTCCAAAATGCCTCCCAGTCGAGGAAGGGCTGCTACTGGAGCACAAGACAAGCCTGTGCAAAGGCCCTCCAGGCCACAGCTGCCACCTGCTCTTGGAGCAAGTTACACACCAGTCTAGAATGGGGAAGGGCCATGCCAAGCGGTTGTTCAGTCTTGGTTCCAGTTGTAAAGTAACGTTTTCTCCCTCCCCTGGAAGTCCTGGTGTCATCAGGGATGCAGCTGAGGTCTGTCCAGGTCCTCCTGGCCACTTTGGGCTGTTGTGGGAGCTCCCTCACTTGCTGATCCCTGGGCGTGCTCCTCCATGCCACTCTCCTTTATGTTTTCAGGAGAGCCTCAAAACGGATCCGCCAGCTGCACCAGCCCTGAGCAGCGCACGGGCAAAGATGGGAGCCACTGTAGCTATCTAACTTATTATGGTTATTGCAGTTGTTGTTCACCAAATCTGTCATCTGTGAAAATTGGCTCCACCCCAGCTGAATGTGCAAGAGAAGACAGAGCGTGTTGGTGTAAAAGCGAGTGTTTGAAGAAATACTGGCTTCCTTCCTGTTTTTAAGAAGAAAGTGTCAATATCTGGGGGCTCAGAACTAAGAATCTTTGGTCGAAACTATCCGGGCAACAGGGCTTTGGTTCAGAACAGAATCGCAGGGTACTTTTGACTGAAGGAACCCTGCAAGGACACCTTGGCTGATCCTGGGTTTTTGGATTAGAAATGGATGCTGTTCACGAAGTGGGCACACAAGCCCATTATGCTGCTTGAGGGTGGATGGATACAAAGAACTAGGGAGGGAAAATGTGCCTTTTGGGGTCACTTTGGGCTGGCCAACCCCGGCGCGCTCTCTCTCCCTCTCTCCCTAGGCACTGGCCTCTCTTTGACCATTTTGTCCGCCAAGCCCTCCGGAACAGCAGCGCGTCCATACAGCTCCCTTCCGCAGTTTCGGCTTTCGACCTTTGTCCTCTGGCCGAGGACGGCACTCTGAGGCCCTTTAATGGCCGCTACCTCTCCAGTCACATCAAGGCTGTTCCTGCGAGCTGCTCAGTCTTGCCGCAGGTACGGTGGAATCCGGAGGCTCTCCCTCACCCATCCGTACATGTCGTGCCAGCCTATGTCTCTGTGATACTTTTTTCTCCTCCACAGTACGAGCGGGTGCTTTTTGTATTGGACATGCTACTGGGTACAGAACATCCCGTCCTCCTGGTCGGGGAGCCGGGCTGTGGAAAGTCCACCTTTGCTGAGATGCTCGTGCAGCCCAGCTACTTCTATAATCGGGTGCGCCTCACACCTGCGCTCAGTGCGGTTCACCTGCGTCAGCTGCTGCACAGGAGGTCTCTTAGCACCCTGCGAGAGAAGGGCCTTTTCCCCATGGGTAAGCCCACCCGGAGCACGCTGAGCAAAGGACGCTTCCTCTTCCTGGTGGAAGATTTGCACCTGGCTTTTGTTGGTGAGTTCCCCTCCCCTCCGCCCCCCCATCTGTAAGGCTGCAGAGTGGGCTTTGGAAGCACCGCAGGTTTCACGGTCTCCCACCTCCTTTCCAGACCCAGCCCGAGGCACCAGCCCTGTGATTGAATCTCTGCGCCAGACCCTCACCCTCCAGCAGTTCTATCACGCAGAGACCTTGGAATTGCAGCAATGCCCAGCTGCGGGCTTCAACTGCTTCGGAACGCTTTCTGTCCCAATAACCGGTGCCCTGCCTGTCTGCCCTCGCTTTGGAAGGCTTTTCAGCACGGTGGTGCTTCCGGCCATGACCAGGGACTCTTTGCTCAGCATGCACACCGGCACAGTCTTCACCTGGCTGGAGAAGTTTCCTCTGCTGAGCCGGCATAACGACTTGGCCTCTGCGGTCGTCAGGGCCACCCTGGACACTTACGAAGCGGTGAGAGGCAAGTTCCAGCCCTCCCCGGCCTGCTGCCTGTTCCAGTTCTCCTTACACGACATTGCCAAGGTGATCAGGGGAATGCTTCTGCTGCGGCCCCGTCCGGGGATTCATCTGAGCAGCCCCCTGGAAGATCACAGCTACAAGGTGACGTTTGCCAGGCGCACCTCTGTCCTGGGAAGGCCGGCTGCGGGGACTGGATACACCGCAGTCCTCAGTACCCGGCTGATCGTTCGGCTTTGGATGCATGAGTGCATGCGCACGTTCTGTGACCCACTGCGAGGAAAGCATCAGCGTGAGCTCTGCGAGCAGATGTTGATGGAGATCGCCACCGCTACGTTCTGTGCCAAGCGCTGTGTCCTGCGGGTTGTACCCTCCCTTGGCATCCCTCTCCGGACACGCACTGCTATTCAGTTTCCCGGCATGTCCAGCTCCCGTGTCACCCCAGCCGCTGCGGGGGAGGAAGACTTCAGAGAAGAGGATCTCCTGCTGACTCTGCAAGCCAAGCCCGGCTTCCCGTACAGCAGCAGCCTCGGCCATCTGAACCCCTGGGATTCTGTGGAGCAGTCTGCAGCCCTGGCGCTTGACCCACCAGCTCCCCCTCCTTGGGACGATGCTGCCCTAGGAGAACTAGAAGATGAGACCCCTGAAGTGGAGCTTGAAGATGCGGATGGGGGAAAGAAGCAAAGTTATGCCTTTCCGGGGAAGTCTGACCAGCTGAAGGTGCCTGAGTCTCATGCCACCCCCCACCGGTCTTTCCTCACACGCGTCAAGCGCCGTGCCTCTACCAAGAAGGAGAGCTCTGGCCCGCTGCTGCCGTCCCATCTCCTCCTGCTGCAGGGCGAGTCCCCGGGAGATATCGTCTTCAGCAAGGACCTGGGCCCCGGCTGCTATAGCCCCAGTGCTCACAACCCCTATCAGGAGAAGCTCTGGAAAGTCTTAGAGAGTCAGCTGGGCTCCTGCCTGACCCCTGACTTTTTGTTGTGCTCAGAGGGACTGAAGCGCGTAGTACACCTGGCCCGTCTGCTCTGTGGCCCAGACAGACATGGGGCCCTCATCTCTTTTGTCCAGTGCACAGGCCGGCAGTCTCTCGTGGCCCTGGCTGCTCGTGCCACAGACTCTCTGCTCATGAACCTGCCAGCAAAAGCTAACGAGACAGAGGCGCTGGCACTACTGAGGCTGGCAAGCTGGCACGCCGGAATTATGGGGAGGCGAGTGTTGCTGCTGGTGCACTCTGGAGTGAGCGTGGTCGTCCTACACCAGATACTGGCGCTGATGGGCGAGGGCACGTGCCCTGGACTCTATGACCCAGGCGATTCTGTGGCCATCATCCAGGCCCTGCTGCAGGAGAACCAGAGCATCAAGCGCACCATGCGGGATGACCTCGTTCTGCAGAAGTAGGGAATGGGGGGAGGGAAGGCGTTTGGGTGCCACGGGAATTGGCAGGAGACGGTTTAGGGCAGACCTCCTTCAAGGTCCTCCTTTTGTCTTGGCCTCGCAGGTTCTTCCAGTTTGTGCGCTCCAACTTGCACGTGTTGCTGCTCTTCGGTGGTCCCGGTTCCTTGGCCCTCCCCCCCCTCACAGCCACAGCACTGGCCCAGTCGCTCTGCAGTTTGGAGGTATATCGGAACTGGAGCCACGAATCCCTGCTGCAGGTGGCCTCCAAACGCTTCAAGTACCACTTCAAGAATCCCATACGGCTCACTCGAGGTTGGTGCCGGGAGAAGAGGGGCGCCACCTTCGCTTTCTTTCCCCCCCAAACAGCAGCCTTCAGCCTCCCGCTGGCTTCAGGGCATTGGCTAAGAATGCTGTTCTTTCCCTTCTTATTTCCTTACTTTGCACTCAGCTTTCTTATCCCAGGGGAACTGTCCATGTGCTGGGGAGCATTGAGCTTCGGGGTTTATTGATCGTGGCCGCTCAGCAGATTTCCTGATGTTTCGCTGGCAACTATGGCTGGCGACTTCAGAGGCAAGGTGGTCAGACCTCTGAAGACGGCGGTTACGGTTGCCAATGAGACGTCGGGAAATCTCCTGAGCGGCCACGATCAATAAACCCCGAAGCTCAGCACTGCCCCACAGATACTGGCCGTGAAAGCCTACGCCAGTATATTGCCCATGTGCTGCTTTTCACATGTCTTGAACCCTAAAGATGCTTACAGCCTTGTTCTCTGCGCTCCCCAAGTTCAGACTCTGTGACCAAGCCCCGAGGCACCTTTCAGCTTACCTCCAGCAAGGGGACGGGCATAAGGCACAGAAGGCGTGCCCCCCGCCCCCTCACCCTGCTCATGGGCTCTCTGACCTGATCTCCCCCTTCGTTGCCTGCTAGAGCCGCCGTCCCTGTGTGCCCAGAAGGACCTGCTCCACCAGACTGCTGTGGTGGCAGCGCAGATACACTCCTCGGCGACCCATTATGCCGCTTCCCTTGCTGCCGGCCTGCCTCTTGTCAGCCTGAAGAGTTTTCGGGATTTCCTCGACTCCTTTGTGCTGCTGCTGGATAGCCTGCAGGAACAGATCAGCAGGAGGACTGATCGGTGAGTATGTCTGCTCAGGAGCCGAGATGGGCACTGCCCCTTTCCTCAACCACAATACTCTCTTCTGGGGCCCGGGCCCCCGAATCCCATCCCAAGGCTGTCTAAAACAAGGCCAGGAGTGGGACTTGCTCTGCACAGTTTTTGAAACACGCTCATACATGTGTGTACTGGCCTTCAGAGTAAGCAACGTGATGTGTAAAGTGCAGAAAAGGAGTGCAGGACAGGAAACTGCAGGCAAGAGACAGAAGAAGGAGAAATTGAATTAAATCTCCTAGGTGCAAACACCACTGCTAATGCCTGTTTTTATTAATTAATTAATTAATTATTTATTAATTAATTAATTAACTATTCGATTTGTATGCCACCCATCTCCCCCAGTGGGTGACTCTGGGCGGCTCACCTATCCATGCCTTTCTTGTCCATATACCAATTCATACATCTCATCTCACCAACTCTTAATATTTATGTTTCTCCTGACAAAATGGGTAAAAGCACATTCTTATATAGATCCACTTTCACATCTCTTAGCAAACATTCATTCTCATAACAGATCACGTGCTACCAACTTCCTGTTCGCATGTCTTAAAATTTCTCCATCTGTATATCCATCTTTGACAGACATTCTGCCAAAGCGCACACATTCGTCAACTTGCTCTAACTTTTCATCATTTGTATATAACTTTAAAACTTTCTCTCCATTTCTTCTATTAAACACAGTTAACTTGGTATTTGATGTATTAATTTTCAGAGCCATGCTCCTTGCTGTATCATGCAGTCTATTAGCAGGGAATTATTCAGGTTCTCAGTCAACAATACAGCATAATCTGCATACAAGGTACACACACTTCCACTTCCTTAACCAATGCCACTACAAGCATTCCTTATACATTTATTCATAAGTACATTTGACAACTAAAAGGACATCACATATCAAGGCTAACTCTACGATAAGTATTCCATTTACTCTCATGCATGCTTCACTTCCATCATACATTGCTCTTAATTCATTCAGCAGCTAATGCCATTCACAAAAATTCCATACTTTAAACCTGTCCTTTAATCATTATATATGGTGGTCCTTCAGGTTCGAAGCAGACGTGCTGTTGTGCAGTTCATCTGTGGACACGGAGGTGGCTCTGCAGTCCCAGTCTGGAAGTGCAGAGTCTAGCGCAATGGGGCCACTGGAAGTCCATTGTTGTAGTGACTGTGGGTGTTATTCTGTGACGCTGCTCACGGTTTTCTATCAGTTTTTGGCGGTGCCGGTCTTCAAAGCTGTGGAGGCTTCATAGCACAGGGCTCACCAGCGGGTTCTGTCAGCAGCCGCAGCTCCTAGTTCCCTTGGCTGGATGTCACTGTGGCGTAGGGTTTCTTTCATGCCTTTGTAGCGCTTGCGTGGTCGACCTCAAGGTCTCTTCCCAGACTCCAGTTCACTATAGAGCAACTGGTGAGGCATACGGTGGTCTGATGACGTGTCCCACCCACTGCATCTGGGCTCTGACAAGCAGGGACTCCATGCTGGTGGACTCAGCGTGATCAAAGACCTCCAGGTTGGAGACATGGTCTTGCCAACGAATGCCACAGATTGAGTGGAGACCGCGCATGTGAAATTTCTCCAGTTGTTTGATGTGCCTTCGGTATGAAGTCCAGGACTCACAGCCATATAGGAGAGAAGGGATAACCACAGCTCTAGACTATCAGCTTTGTGGAGATATGGATGTTGTATTGATTGAGCAGTCTAGTATGCAGCTGCTCCAGTGCCTGGCTGGCCTTGCTGATCCTGGAGTCGATTTCTTTGTCCAAAGACCCATCGCTCGAGATGATGGTTCCCAAGTATTTGAAGCTGTTTACATTTGTCGGCTGGATGTCATCAACAGTGATTTTTGGTTCTACCGGTTGGTATTTGGCACGGGCTGGTAAAGTCTTATTCTGGCTGATAGGTGAAGAGCATAGCAGCATCTGAGAATTTGTTCAGCATCAACTGTAGATCACTGTCTTTGTGCGCCAGGAGCGCACAGTCATCAGCAAAGAGGGTTTCTTGGATGACCGTATGAGGCACTTTGTCCGTGCATTCCAGTGGCGAAGGTCAAAGAGAGAACTGTCCAATCGGTACCTGAGGTACGCTCCCTCCTTCAGACCCTGGACAACA